TATTTTCTCTCCCCTGTCCAGCTGAGGAGAGCAGTGCTGGAACAATTTTGGTGGGCACGTGGTGTCCAGCCAAGGTCAAGCTATCACACCTCTTCAAACATATTTCTTTTTTCTTCAAAAAGAAAATAAATGTCCCTTTTCAAAAGTGATTCTGTAAAGAAAAGGATCAAATTATTTTTAAAGGCTTCCAGGATACAGGAAACAAAGTTGAAAAAGTGTATTTTCTTCAGAAAGCTGAAAGCCCTGTTGATGATGAAGAGCGATTTTGAGCTCCTTCCCTCAAAGGAGGCACATGTGTTTGCCTCTAGGAAACAAGTGGCAATTGAATTTTGACAGAAAAGAGCTCTAGAAAGGAAAGATGTCAGGTATGTGTTTTATTTCCTTTCCTGAGACAGGACTGAAAGGTTATTAAACCTAATTTGCTGCTGGGACTACATCCTGTTGGTTAAAGGGCCCTTGCCAACACAGCTAACTTCATTTCCCTCAGTCTTCTCCACCGGAATGAATCCAACCTCCCCTCAGGAAGGTTGTTTGCAACTGCAGAAATCTCTGGATGTGCTGACACGTCCACGAGCGGGCTTACATCCCGCTGCGGATTGTTCCAGGTAGGAAAGCAAAGCCAACCGAAGAAAACGATCGATCGTCTTCGCTGGGACTCACCCTTTGATGGGCAGGGGGGGAGGTGGTCGGGCTGATCAAGTCTTGACTTTCCATGAGGTTTCCATAATCGGCCATGCTTCCTTTGAGAGGCAGAGGAGGAGGAATGTCGGGAATGTCGGAGCTGGACATACCATTCAGCTCCAGATCTGTAAAGACCAACAGGGAGTTAACTCTTGCAGTAACCGAATGGATTCCCAAGATCCAGCCCACGCCAATTCTCGGGGCACCGACGCTGCGACAGCGCTGCGCAGGCGATATATTTGTCTGCTCTTCCCTGCCTCTACAATTATCTGCAGCTCATCTAATGAAGGATTTTAAAGGAAAGCAGAACAAATGAACCAACCCCCGCGTCGACGGGAAGTATGCACCGTGGAGTCACATCGGGCGAATTTTTAGGATATGCTCGAAGTACTTGAACGATCCCCTCTTTGTAACAGAAAATAATTTTTTACTTCAGATTTCACGCCAAAATAGTCATGGCTTAGCAAACATAATTTTCTCAGCTGTAAGCTCTGCATTTTCACCTTGTACATTAAGACACAATAGAAGTTTTGGTAAGTGCACTGAGAAAATACAATCGAGCTAAGCTTTATTTACTTTCCCCATGTAAAACAAAGGCTTTTGGTTAATGAAATGCACAAACGAAAGCCTATAATTAGCTACATCTCTCTCCAAAACTTTCAAACTCCAGGTAACTATAATAAATGAGCAGTCATTAGTTGTTGAGTGAATAAAATCATGCACGAGAAAGCACAAAACATTTATTATTACTGTTTGCTGGGTAGAAAGTTCCCTTTTCTTAAGCAGATAAATCCTAGCAGGTACGTGCTGTAAAGGCAAATAGCCTGAGGGACAATAAAGTTTATAGAGGCCTGAGTGATACACAGGTTTTTGTGCAGAAATCCACCCACGGTGTATTTCAGGGCAATTCAGTCATTTTAACACAGGCAAAACCCACTGTGAGCTCTACGAGATAAGAAACTTAATTTACTTTTGATAAATTAACCAAGTGTTGTCATTTAGGAAATGAAAAAAGGTTATTAGTACCTTATTGGGGTGATTTGTGAAACAAGTGGAGGACTTGTTTATGCAGATATTTTTATTGCAAGGATCCTATCAATATCTTACAAAAAATGTTCTTTTATTGTTCTCTAAAACAGCCTCTCACTAACACAATTTAACTGTAAGGTGGTTGTATTGATTTGTCACTGAAAACTGTAATTTTACTCTTCATCCTTTCCCTTGAACTTTCAACTGCGCCAGGAAGAAGAATATTTTCCATCCTGTGACTTCAAACTGAAAATGCTGAAAAATGCTGTCTGTCCTCCAGGACCTGAATTTCTCATAATTTTCCACTGCTCTTGTTTTTCATCCTTCCTTTCCTACACATAGAGGATTTCTCCATTCCCCAAACGTTCATAATACTTTCCTTTAAATATCTCCATCAGAATCTACTTCTGCTAAGCTCAGTAAACATGTAACTGCATCCTGCATGTCTCATCCACATCTACCTACCTATCTATCTGTCTGTCTGTCTATCTGTCTGTCTATCTATCTATCTATCTATCTATCTATCTATCTATCTATCTATCTATCTATCTTCCTACCTATATATTTGTGGTTTTTATCCCATGCGGTTTAGGAAAATACTGGGAGGTGTTTGGAAACTGGCATTTTCTTTGTGGAGTTGTAACTTCAGCAGAACCTTGAATCCTGCTTCAGAAAGAGAAACCTTCTTTTGGTAATTACTGTAAACGTTTTTAGGTCTCTTTATATGCATTCCTTAGCTGGAAACTGAAAATAAGTGTAATAACACACTATTACCCAAAGATAAAGCAAATTTAACCATCCTGACCATTTCACCTTTGTATCTTACATGATATTACTCTATCTACTAACTTCATTTAGGCCACTGCATGTAGACTAACAGGTGGTACCAAGAAGATAGCTAAGACAAATTTTGTCAGCAATTACAGAAACCCTTTGTTTCTCTAAGGCCAACATTTGGAAGATCCATGGAAGGGCAGGTGAGCAATGTTTTCACTAGAGCTGTAAGGAAACAAGGTGTGGAGGTAATTCTACTTTAGCATCTGCAATACCCTGAACAACCTGGATGGTCACCAACTCTCTATGCAACTGTGTCCTACTCTGCTTCTGTCCCTTTCCCTCCATTCCCCAGCCCCTGTGGCAGCTCTGATTTTCTGGAGCCCTCTCTGCGTGCCTGTACGTGGCACCTCCACAACTTCATCCTTTTGCAAGTCAGCAGTAACTCATGTAAAAACATCTACAGAGCATTTACACCCACGTGAACAGTTCAAAATACACATCGACAACATATTTGCATTCAGTCTGGCAAATTATGTAGTAGAACAACGATATTCTAGAATGAAAAAAACTATTTACCCCAACTAGCTCATGACTCACATAGTTTCATGAAATCCAGGAGTCATCTTCCCTACTGCAGAAACAGGTATCAAACACAGATTTCAGTCATTTTCAGGCATTGTTCAAGAAGATCTATTTGCTACAGATCTATCAATTCTCTCCGGCTCAGTTCAGCCAAACTACACCTCACTAACTCAGTCACTGCACAAATAATTACTCATAATTTCTGGTTTATTCTTCTTATTCAAGGTGTTTCATCAGACTAGTATGGTTTGAGTACTTATTCCTTATTGGACATGTGCCACTGAGAATGAGCTGGCAGGAGATCAGTTAGATGACTTTTTTTTTCATTGTAAACTAATGACCAAAGTTGACACTCTATTCTCCAAAACTGCCAGCTAACAAGCAAGTACTATTGCCAGGTAACCCATTAATTGCATTTAGCCAATCTGTGCACTGAAGTAACTTCCTTGGAATTCCTAAATTCCTTGGAATTCCTAAAATTTTTATCATTTTGATTCCTCAAACGGTTAAGGGCAAGTCCTATGAATTTTGCAATGTTGAACCTACTTTACAGAACACTCATACATCTCCAGCACATAAACACATTCTCAGAATCAGATACAGCTTCAGATACTTTTAAAAAAAAGAGAGATCAAATTAGTTTTAATAAAATGTACATGTCAAGAAATAACCCAATTCCAAGAGTATTCTTTTTTGGAGGAGTATATATAGTCCTCTATATTTCCAGTTTTTGGTGAACAACATTGCAAAGAAAGGAGAGTTCACAGTTATGAAAATAGTTATTTTGGGTGTCTGACTATGCAGAGGAAACACTGCATTGATTTGCACTTGTTTATCCCTCTTCCACATATTTGCAATCAACCATTTCAAATCATTAAAACAAAGGCCCATGTCTTTTAGAAGACAATTCTGTTGGTATTGATTTCTAGAATAAACACACTCCTGCTCACAGGTGGCGTGTATCTGGCCACAAGAAGTTTCCAAAACACCCACTATTTATGGGAAAAGGTTTTAAGTGGTAAAAAACAAATAAAGAGAAGAGTGATGTTGATCAAATAAGATATTTTTCTTAAAACTGATCCACCTATCTTCTTTCCTAACACTGAACTCTTGACTATTGTACTAGCATTTGGGTCTCTGTAGCAAAGAGATCGTTTTAGCAACTGAAAACTCTGACTAATTCTGTTTTTGGAAAAAAAGAAAGATCTGTTATATTGCACACAGTTCTGCAGTAGGGTTTCCAGAAGAAAATAACTGAGAGATAGACGTCAATGTCAAACAGAAATACATCAGAAAGGCTGATTATTTTTTCCCTTCTGGCCTGCACTCACTACGTAGCAAACAAAAGTTCTTTTAAGTTACAACTGCATTAAAAGATTATTTTTCTAGGCTTTATGCCCCAAAATATCCCAAATCCAATATACAATCAAGGACAACACTGATTTTTGACAGTTACTCTATACTTAAGTAATTGTTAATGATTACTTGAAAAAGTGAGCTTTTCAATGCAACCGTTTTGCTTGCTTTAGTAAAATGTTAGAATAACTTTTGTTGGCAAACACAAGGAGTGTGAAGGTAAGAGGAAGGCTTTTATTCCTGCACGCAATCCCATGGCGATGGCAAAGTGACTAAGTCCCGAGAACTCAGAAGAAAAACGTAGTTAAAATTAAAGACTTACTGGACTGTATGCTGAAAGAAAGTTTTGTCCGTGGAGTTATTGGGGGGGGCGTCAACTGGGAGTTGGGAGGTGATGGAGAGACGGAGAAACGTCTTTCACTTGAAATGACGTTTATGACTTGGCTTTTTGGTCTCTGCGGTCTTAGCGGGCTGATCTGCACGGGGACAAAACCAGCGAGACAGTAAAAGATTATATGCTGTCACTGAGCAGCACACCTTGTGACTGCTGCGTTTTCCCCACCACCCTCCTAAACAGTACGAGGGCAATAATAACATACAACACTTCTGATTTAATGCAGTATTTCGCAGCTCCAAATGTTCTTCCCTTCTCCTCAGGCATCACAACGACACTTAATGCACACACCTTTCCGCAGCCCAGCAGATTTTTCTGAAGCAATGAGCCACTTCCCCAAACACTCGCTGAATAATAGCTGAAGAAGTCCATATCCTTACGCAAGACTATACAGCTCTCAAAATCTTGTCCTGCTTCTCATGTGGCTCTACTCGCCTTTTACAATTTATTTCTTTAATTATTTGCACAAACAAACACTCTTCTGAAGAAGACATCATGTGTCCAGAAACACTTTCTTAATGGTGCCTGTTTGTGCTTATATTTAATTCACTGAAACATCCCTATCGTTTTGCTCTGGCTGCTTCATAGTCCATTAAAGTTTTCCATCACAACCCTTGAAATGATACTTGTAACCTGATGGGCGACTAATGCTTTTGTTAAGGCGATTCCTTTTATTGAGTTTAATTCTGAGCTCTGCTGTTTGTCACCCATCCACTCGCTCCCATATTTCTAGTAATTGCAGTGAAAAAAAGGAATTTTTTATTTCCAGGAGATCACAGAAAACGGAGTAGCAGCCTGAAGTTAAGAGGGGAATTACATCCAAGGTGTTGCATTAGGACAAAACAGAAAATGCCAGCAGCAATTCATGCTTTTTGGAAGGATTTTGTCATTTCACAACGTTTTTTTTTTAAAAAAGTATGTTGTGAAGGAGAAATCTAAAATGAGGTACGAGTTTGTCCTTTTATTGTCAGAAAACAAACCCAAAAAAAGGTTTGCATAAAAGACTGTGCCTTCTGTAAGAAATGAATGACCATAAACTATGTGACTTCTTTTTGAAAGTTCATCAAGACCGCAGGGTAATCTTTCAGAAATTTGCCTGATACTAAAATTCAAGTCCTAAAAACTGAAAAGGTTTCTTCTCTCAAGATCTTTTAAAACATATTTTTATTGGAAGGGAAAAGCAAATTAATCACTCTCTCCGAGGCATATAATTATAAAAAAAAATAAATAGGGTAAATTAAGAAAGCTGCAATGACAGAATGAAGAGAAAACCCAACAACTAGAATCAAGTTCTCAAGTTAGCCTGGTCTGCAGCTACTTTTCTCAAACAAATTTTAACAACTTCTGTGATTGACAAGTTTGGTCCTCTTAAAGCTTCACATAAATCACGGTTCTGCTGGGGAATATGAACTCTTTGGAGACCACTAATCCATAATGAATGAAATTGCAAATTTTTTTGAGGCTAACAAAAGCAAGATCAATAGTGAGTGATGTTACATGCCACCGAATCAATAAAATGTACAGCCTGTTATTCTGATTTCTAACACAAGCTTTCGAGTGGTCTGTTAATTACCTGGCTTCAGTGTTAGGTTTGCTATCAGCTCATGGAATCAAAGGACTAACAATGAGAATTTATGTTAAAGAAGTTTATGCGATACTTCAAAGGAGATATCAATCTCTAGAAAACTATAAAGACATTACTGATCATCTCCGCATACCAAAGTGCTTGATTTATCTTCTGATAAGATTGCAGCAGTACAAGATCTCTGTAATTAGGGCTTGGGTTTTGATCAGTCAATAAATCCATTACGAGTTACAGTGAAATTTGGAAGAAAGTATTTAAGCCCTACAACTACACAAAACAGCCTCCGAACGTTCCTTTTTAAAGAAAATGTAAAAGCCCCGTGAAGTAATTCCGCAGTTTTATAGTCTTCCCACACTCTCCCATGACGACTCATTTGATTGAAAAAAAAAAGTTCTTAGACAAGAAAGTCCAATGATGGGAACACTCATTTCATTAGACACTATCATTAAAAAAAAAAGCTTGCACTCACATCTCCCACATCCCCAAACAGACTACGAGAGCTTGGTGGAGAAGAACATTAGCTCTGGATGAAGAAAATTTTATTTAGGAGCAGCTCAGTCAGTTGGATGTGCACAAATCCAGGAGGGTCAGATGGGAGGTGTCCAAAGATACTGGAGAGCTGGTTGATGCCACTGGAAGGTTACTTTCATCTCCGAGAGAGAGGTCTTGGCCATCGGAGAAGATTGCTTACGAGTGGAAAAATGCAAATGCTGGCTGGAAAGGAGGACACGATACCCCTTCAAGGCATATGCCTATTTGTCATGCAAGGAGCAGAAATGAGCAGAGCCAACATGGTTTGACTCAAGTTTTCCACTCTTCCCAGTCAAGAGCTTTCAGTGCATGACTGGTATGACTAATATTCCCCTGGTTATAGAGAGGGAGGGAAATTAAATGTCAGAATTAGTTACTTACAGTTACTCTGAGCTTCTCAAAATCCACAGATCAATAATACCAGAAGGAGTTGACTGGTGAGAGAAAAACTCTCCCTTTTAAAGTATCCGCAAACTACTTTAAGAGCTCCAAACCGACCAAGTCAATTTTTAATGCTTAGTGTTAGTCTGGTTCATTTTTTCTTGTCCGTGAAATAGAGGAAACGCTTCTGAGATTAGTTTACAAGAGTGGTTGATACAATTCCCACTGCTGTCTTCAGGAATTTCATACAGATAATGTCAAGCAGTTGGAAGATAAAATTTGTCTTGTCTTGAAATTTTTGCACTCTGGAGACATATGTCCCCTATTAATGACATAAAAGGGAAATTGTTATCTTTTGTGGGTAAAAATTCAGCTTTTCCATTGTTCTACTGCTGTGGGCTGCACCGTGTGCAAGTTCCCTTTTTAAGTTGAAATTGCTCCCAAAGCACTGCTACTGCTGTGTTTTATGAAGCAAAAGGCATTTTGATTTCTCTTGCACTGGGAACTTGGAAGAAGACAAGTTTGTTAGCTTAAAAAAAGAGGATGATGAAATGGAGAGGGGAAAAGTTAAGGATTGGTTTTCCAAAAAAACCAGAATCCAGATTAGACTGAAAATGAAAGATTTAAAGTGAAATTTTAGCAATAAACTACTATGAGTTACTAGATTTTATTACAGTTGCTGGATCCCTTCTGTTGAGAATTTTAGAACTCACTTGTGCCATCACTAATTCAGTTATGAGATTTCAGTTATTTGGTGATTCTTCATTCTGATTTCTTAAACATTTGGAGGTGTTACGGCAGAAGACATGCTTTTCTTCAGCACAATGACAATTTATAAGTACCCTCAAGAAAAGAGATGGAAGAGTAAGAGCCACCTTGGGATTTGTCAACATCAGATTGGTCAAGACCTTCTTTCTTCTCAGGAGGCTCTGTAGGTAAGAATGATGGGGTGGACCCTCGATGTGAGACTTCAAAAACTTTTGACACATCTTGCATGATGCTCTCATGAACAAACCGAGTGTTGAAGTGCTGGAGAAGGCACAGAGTTGGGCTGCCAAGCTGGGAAAGGATTTGGAGCATGTGTCATACGAGGAGCAGCTGAGTGGTCTGGAGCTGTTTAATCTGGAGAAAAGGAGACTGAGGGGAGAACTCATCACCCTCTACAGCTACCTGACAGGAGGTTGTAGCGAGGGGGATTGGTCTGTTCTCCCCAGTGGCAAGTGATAGGAGGAGGGAAAATGGCCTGAAGTTGCGCCAGGGGAGGTTCAGGTTGGATATGAGGAAGAATTTCTTTACTAGAGGGTTGTCAGGCACTGGAACAGGCTGCCCAGGGAGGGGGTTGAGTCGTCATCCCTGGAGGGGTTTAAGAGATGGGTGGATGTTGCGTTCAAGGACATAGTTTAGCGGTGTTGATAAGGCTGAGATAAAGGTTGGAGTCGATGGTCTTGAAGTTCTCTTCCAGTTGAAATTGTTCTATGATTCTATGAAGTCTGCTCTAAGGCGATGCTGCAGGACACACAGCAGCAGCCTGGAAAAACCATGCTTGATATTGCCATGGGTGAGATGGTGTAAATGAGAGCCCAGGATGGATTTAGATACGGGGATACCTCAAAATAATCTGTGTGCAGAAGCACAGCATGTGATCAGCCTCTTAACCTCTGGCTCTGTCTCATGTCTAGTTTTTAACAGGAGGACTCGGTGTGTGTCACTTCTGGTTCATCCACGTGTCATCGTGCTTCAAATACCAGCCCACGCCAGTTGCAGCTTGTGCTGGGCAGCTCAAAAGTCCAGTTTCAGATATTCACCCCCTGCACACATGGTCACACATAATTATCTGTTGCCTGGTAATGCTCCTACCCTAAATTATTCTTCACTCACCATGAACAGGTAGTTCTTACCAGTGGTTTGCTTTCACGACGGAAGGATGCATCAATACACTTACACATGGATCTGTTCTGGATCCTGCATTATTTACTACTAATTGGTTTGTGCAATGTAATTGCTGCCAGAGTTAGAGAGAATATCACATGAGAGGTGCAGCAGGCGTGCCACAGCACGGTCATTCCAATCTCTGCCATGATCAGGTTTAGTCAAAATTTGACTGCTGCAGTGTGCTTAGTATGTCCAGAGTTGAATGCACTGTGTCAAAAAAAAGAGATTTATGGAAATCTATGCAAAATGTAGTTCCTGTCTGAAAACACTCTAATGATGCTCACCTGGCTGGCTTTGGCAGGAGGAATCTCCATTTAAATAAACCAGGGCTGATTCCAAACTTACTAAACTCAGTGGACAAACTCATTGGCTTCAAAGGAGTTCAGGTGAAAAGTCTGAGACAAACAAAAGGGATTTTTTTTTTTTTTCCCCCTGAGCTAATACTGGACCTACAGCCATATCAGACAACACAACTCTGATATTCCAAGATGTCAGAAGACACATTTGAGAGATTAGCTCAGCTCTGGATGGAAAAGGAAATCCAGAAAACAGAGGAACTACAGCTGAACACCTGAGTAATATTCCGCTACAAATACCAAAGAGAACGACTTAGAGGATCTAGTCATCACATGTCAGACAGAAATCACTCCACAAATTCCACGTAAATGACACAGCCACCAACGAAAGACCTTGCTGAGCTAAAAGTTGGCTCTACCAGCACTTGTGCAAATCTTTAAAAGAACATTACATTTATTTCTGGAGGGCAAGTTTTAAACTATTGGCCTGAAAACAGGAGTCCAAGGCAGAGATTTGGAGGTTACGGTTAGTTCACGCCCTCCCTGCTCCAGCTTAAAACAACTTTGCTTTCAATTTCAGAGCTAAAACTTCTCAAGTTACTTAAGCCTTTAGGACAGTTTCAGTGAATTAAATATACACCAAGAAGAGAAGGCTTAAGAGAGATATGCCTTGTAGTTAATATTCTTACACACAGCCAGCAGTGGAAGTGCTTACGATTTTCTGCTCAAAATAGTCTTTCAAGAATACGTAACTGCCATGCACGAAATGACCTTGTAACATTTCCACCAAAAAGTGTCTTGCAGTAGTCAGCTGAAATATGAGGAAACCCATCACGATCTAGTGGGAATCATAAATTCAAAAGGCTGCTAAAATGGTAGCATTTTTTTTACTTAGGATATACCATCTGTTCCTTTTACCAAATAGCCATTCATAGCTTTTGATAAGATTTTCATGTGCGATACCATGACTTTTTTTGCACTGTAAATAAAATCTCTATCTTTGATTCATTATCACATATATAAACAACACAGCATATTCCCTTAAGAGTTATTTTTGGTCTAAAAATAATTTAAATCGTAAAAATCAACATTTTTATTCAAAAAGAGAAAGAACAGTGCTCAGAATTAAATAAAGCATTACTTGATAATAAAGTTACCGTTTCTGAAAGGATCACTGCTTCAGACTGCTGCAGAGAAATATCAGTGGATTTAAATTCTTTATCAAATATCTCTTGATGCTTGCTGTTCCTTTTCTCCTTCTTCTTTTCCTTCTTATCTTTATCTAGGTCATCCTTGTCCAATTTATCTTGAGACCTAGAATGCATCTTTTTTGGCAGGAGGGGCTCCAGCACAAACCTAAAGAAAATTGTTGTTGCTTAGATCAATAAAATATAGTTTTCAAACCACCTGATTTTCATTTACATATTTCCCAAAGTCTCACTTTGAGTTAACGATGCTTTGCTAATCCAGGAAAACTCATTAGAGAGAAAAAGAGGGGGCAGGTCATAACAATCATAATTGTCTTACAGTAAAATTTACTGCAGAACTGCTGAACAACCGGCACTGCCTGGTTCTCTCCTCCGTAGTAAATTCACTGGTTTACAGCTACACAAAAAAAAGGAGTTTCTGCCTGCCCCTGCACCTTGAAGGCAGTCCATGACTCTATGAATGGTTTTAAGGGCTTCTTGAATAAAAATAGCCAAGTCCCCAAGTTTCTCCCAGGCTTTGGGGAAAGGGGATGCATTTATTCCCCAGAGAAGAAATTACAGCTGATTGTGTTGCGATTTTCTGTTGAACGTGCATGACACACAACGCTTGCTAATCCTTGTAACGCACCAAAATGACAGCCCCTTTTCACAGCGTGCAAAGGGAACACCGACACACTGCCCAAAAGCATGAGGTACAGAAGTTAAAACACAGACCCAAGCACCATTACAGAATCACAGAACTGCCCAGATTGGAAAAGACCTTTAAGACTATCAACCAACCATTCACCTAACACTGATCATCAAGTCCAACCATCAACTCAACACTGACAAGTCCTTCACCAAAGCATGTCCCTAAGCACTAAGTACACACAACTCACAAATGCCTCCAAGGGATGGGAACTCAAACAGTTGTGGTCAACGGCTCAATGACCACGTGGAAACCAGTGACAAGCGGTGTTCCTCAGGGGTCTGTTCTGGGTCCAGGGCTGTTCAACATCTTTGTCAGCGACATGGACAACAGCACTGAGTGCACCCTCAGCAAGTTTGCTGATGACACCAAGCTGTGTGGGGTGGTGGACTCGCTTGAGGGCAGGGCTGCCATCCAGAGGGACCTTGATAGGCTGGAGAAATGGGCCAGTGCAAACTGCAGGAGGTTCAACAAGTCAAAATGCAAGGTCCTGCACATGGGTCTGGCCAATCCCAGGCACAAATACAACCTGGGCACAGAGTGGGTTGAGAGCAGCCCTGAAGAGAAGGACTTGGGGGTGTTGATAGATGAGAAGTTCAGCACGAGCCGGCCAGGCACTCATGCAGCCCAGAAGCCAACCCTGTCCTGAGCGGCATCCAGAGGAGTGTGGCCAGCAGGGCAGGAGAGGGGATTCTCCCCCTTTGCTCTGCTCTGGTGAGACCCCACCTCGAATCCTGCATCCGGTTCTGGTGTCCCCACCTTGAGAGGGACATGGAGCTGTTGGGACGAGTCCAGAGGAGGCCACAAAGCGGACCCAGGGGCTGGAGCAGCTCTGCTGGGAGGACAGGCTGAGGGAGCTGGGGCTGTTCAGCTGGAGAAGAGAAGACTCTGGGGGCACCTTATCCCTGCCTGCAGTGCCTGAAGGGACCCACAGGGAGGCTGGGGAGGGACTTTGACAAGAGTGTCCGGCGACAGGACAAGGGGAGATGGATTTAAGTTGAAGGAGAACAGATTTGGATTGGAAAAATTTCTTCACTGCAAGCGTGGCAAGACTCTGGAATAGATCGTCCAGAGAAGCTGTGGCTGCCTCTTCCCTGGAGATGTTCAAGGCCACATTGGATGAGGCCATGAGCAATCTGGGCTAGTTGAGAAGCGTCCCTGCCCATGGCAGGGGGTTGGGTGAGACACTTTTTCCCTGTGAGGATGCCGGAGCCCTGGCCCAGGCTGCCCAGGGAGGGTGTGGAGTCTCCTTCTCTGAAGACTTTCAAACCCACCTGGACACGTTCCTGTGTGACCTGCTCTGGGTGACCCTGCTCTGGCAGGGGGCTGGACTAGATGATCTTTTGAGGTCCCTTCCAACTCCCAACATTCTGTGATTCTGTGATCTCTAAGGTCCCTTCCAACCTCAGCCATTCTAGATTCTGTGACGGACGCTGTGGTAACGACGTGTCTACAAACGTTTGCTTTTCCACGTATGAGGATACAGATCCACAAATCCATTCGTGCGTGCACACACATACTCACAGATCCCACCTCTGCTCTCCTACAGCGCTGCCCTGGCGAGGGGCAGCCAGGGGGGCTGGGCTTCCTTGGTCTGGTATTACAGATAAACTCAAGACCGACAAATGGGTCAGGTAACAGCGATGGGCAAGGTTGGTTTCCAAAAAGCAGATGTATTTTCCCACCTGGAATCCTCCAAGTGTGTGAATACAGGCAAGGCTGATAGAGTACTACCATCGGTTCTGCAATTTTTACAGTCCATGGCTACTTTTTTTTCTGGCTACAAAGGGAAAAAATCTTTAGGGGTTCAATGAGGAGTTTTTATTTTTGTAGAGAAAGTACTATTCTAAGTAATATTGGAACTCTTTTTACCTAATTTCCACTCAGTAATTTAAAGGAATCTCTCCTATTTTTTAATGACTAGTTTAAATAAAAGTTATAAAAATATTTTGCTCTTAACAAGCTACAAAGCTCGTTAGGTAGGCAAAATATTTTATAATTTATTTTATATTACAAACTAAACAAACTACTGAAATCATACTCTAGTCAATAATGAGACTGTCAGATATTAAGGGGAGGTCACAAATGATCAAATTACAAAAACCACACCCATCCACTGCTGGGTAGTGCTCAGATTTGTACTCCTAAATCCCATTTTAAGCAGTGAATAAACCCAAGGCCCTTTTTTTAAAGTCAGAGTTTTATTTATACCCAGAGCTGGGACTTGTAAAACATGTACCATGTCAATGCCTGCTTTGAGTTTTTACTGTATAAATGCTGCAAAAGCAGGAGATGGTATAAAATGCAAGTTGGGTGATCTAGGAAAGGCTCTGTTTTTAACTATTTTTTCTTTCTTTTTTCTCAGCTTCATCACTAATCTCAGAATTAAGATATGAGAAAGAGGGAAATGAAAAGCAGAAGAGGACAACTGACCATAAACCAAACTGACTGTGGTAGGTACGTGAGTGAATTTCTGCCAAGTTAGTAGCGACAGGCCAATCACATGATTTTTACTGTCATTTGAATTTCTGAGGTATTTCATTGTATTATTTACATCTGATTATTTTTATTCTCCGGCTCCACTGATGAAGCAACTAAGTATTTCTTTTTTTTCCAGGTCTTCTCAGTGATGATAACTGATCACTGGATTTTCCTCACATGTACTCCAGCTGTATTGCTCGGAGCAGGAGCTGAGGTGCGCTGTGATTTTTGCGAGGCTTTATTTTAATATACATACTGAGTAGACTCATGAGATCCTCCAAAACTGCTAAGTGACACCTAGTACAACAAAGCCGGGATTGAAAGGTGAAATTTAAGAAAATAGCATCCAGTGAGAAAGAAAAATACGTAAGGTGCCCATTAACCTGGGATGGTAGTTATCCCGAGACAAATTTCATGAATGAATTAGGCAAAATCACATTATTATCTCTGCTGTCCTCCACTTGTATCAATATGACTCACTACGTAAATGTTATAGAGGGTAACATAATCAGAGCTGAATTGTCCTGTTTGCTGTTCTTCCCAATGGGTAAATAAACTGTTTGTAATCGAGGTAAGTATCATGTTGGTTCTCAGGTTCTCTACTTAATTTTACTTGATGCTTTTACTTTCTAGTCAGGTAGTAACTCCCTCTGAAGGTGCACAAGGGACACGAACGTTTCGAGCACATCTCTGTAAGCCAGCAGCCCTTCAGGAGGCTTTAAAAAAGCTGATGCCTTGGTCGAACACCGAGTTTCTGGATTACGGGAATGCCTGGGGGGAGGAAGAGGGAGAAGGGACTTCTGAGACTGCATGGAAAGCCCAGGCAGAAAACAGATTGTTTCGTTCTTTTGAGGGATGTGACTGTGAGACAGGGCTTATCAACAGAATTCCCCGTTCTCATGTGAAATATCTTGATAAGTCTTGAAGTACAGTCTTGCCATAAGCAGCTTTTCCTCTGGCAGCAGAAGTGAGACGAAATGATTGAGCAGTTAGCTAATCCCTTCCTTCTCCCGAGCTCCACCTGTTTATCACGACGGGGCCGGCTGAGCACACATCTCATCATCGACTTTGCAAAAGATCCTTTCTGAACTACTGCACTTGAAATAGCTCACAAGGGCATAATTTATCTCCTGTTTGTCTGTTTGGTTGGGTGTGGGTTTTTTCTTTGCATGCTTAGAGGGGTTTGTTTAATTTTGAAAGAGGAGCAAGAAGAGCATTATATTTATCTTGGTTTAAAAAAGGATAAGTAATGAATCTTGAGATAAATGTCTATATAGATTTGGTTTTTTTCAGCCAATATTAGGCTGTCACTTGAAAAAACCATCCCCACTCCACAACTAGTTACTCACACTGTTGTGACACATTAATGTTTGTGGGGTATCAGGATGAACCAAATCTGGAATAAATATGCTGGGGAAAGATACAACCAAAACATCCCACAGCTTCTTGTGAGATCCAACAAATGTCACACTGCCATGCGGGAGAGGTCAGTTGGATCAGGAGTGGTACCACGGCAGCACTGAGATCTGCAGCAGGGTGGTAACAATCCTCAAACCCTACAGAACATAGAATCACATCATGGAAAGGTTTGGGTTGGAAGAGACTTTAAGATCTGCCCTGAGCAAGGACACCTCCCACCAGCCCATGTTGCTCCAAGCTCCCTCCAACCTGGCCTTGAGCACTTCCAAGGAGGGGGCTGTCACAGCTTCTCTGTGCCAGAGCCTCACCACCCTCACAGTGAAGAACTTTTTCCTAATGTCTAGTCTCAATTTACCCTGCTCTAGTTTAAAACCATTACCTTCATCCTGTTACTAGGGGCCTTTGTATAAAGTCCCTCCCCAGTCTTTTCGTAGGCCCCTTTCAGGCACTGGGAGGCGCTGTAAGGTCTCCCTGGAGCCTTCTCTTCTCCAGGCTGAACAAGCCCAACTCTCTCAGCCTGTCACAGAATCACAGAACAGTTTCGGTTGCAAGAGACCTTCAAGATCATTGAGTACAACCTTTTCCCGGTCCTACCAACACCATGAAGCCATCCACCCTTCTCTTAAACACCTCCAGGGATGGCGCCCCAACCCCCCCCCTGGGCAGCCTGTTCCAATGGCTGACAACCCTCTCAGTACAGAAACTCTTCCTAATATCCAACCTGAACCTCCCCTGGCGCAATTTAAATCCATTTCCCCTCATCCCATCACTTGCCACTGGGGAGAACAGACCAACCCCCGCCTGGCTACAACCTCCTGTCAGGGAGCTGCAGAGAGTGATGAGGTCTCCCCTCAATCTCCTCTTCTCCAGGTTGAACAGCCCCAGACCCCTCAGCTGTTCCTTGTACCATACATGCTCCAAATCCTTTCCCAGCTTGGCAGCCCAACTCTGTGCCCTCTCCAGCACCTCAGTGTCCCTCTTGTAGCGAGGGGCCCCAAACTGGACACAGCACTCGAGATGAGGCCTCACCAAAGCCAAGAACAGGGGGACAATCACCTCCCTGCTCCTGCTGACAACACCATTGCTGATCCAGGCCAAGATGCCGTTGGCCTTCTGGTCTCCCTGGTCCCACTGCTGGCTCATGTTCAGCCGGCTGTCCTTGTAGGAGAGATGTTCCAGCCCCGTGATCATCAGATGTGCACACCAAATCACGCTTTACAGAGATAAGCCCGGGATGAGTATTTCTTACGCACCCATCCGAGCCGGGTCGAGAAGGCGTGCTGTCGGAGGAGATGGAAGACACCGACGCAACCGAGAGGGGTCTTGAAGACGATGGCATTGTGAAGGATCTCACCATAGACCGTGGCCGACTGCCTCGTCTATCATCCAGACTTGAAAGCTGCAATAAAGCGGTACAAGATCTTACACCTTAAATCACAGTATATCTGACATCTGGTAGCCAGAAGTAAGGCGGAAAGGCTTGATGGTTTTTCTTCTGGGTAGAGTTTTCTATTATTTAATTACACACTGTGTTTAATGCCAACAAAACAAATCCTAAAGAAAATCAATTTAAAGGACGAGGAAGAATATTTAGATCCTCACAGGCACATGCACAATTTTAAACATATTCCTATAATTTGTTTCAATGGTATTTACACGTTTTTTTTTTACATCTGAGCTTTAAAAAGGGAGCTTTTTACAAATAACTTTTTTAATCTGTCTATGCAATTGAAGTGACTGCCCTGTCAGTGTATTTAAATGAAATTAAAGGCTTTTTTTTAAAAAAAAAGAATAAAAAAAAGAGGAAAAATGCATTAGGAGGAACTTTACATCAATAGAGCCAATTTACAGAGTGGCATCTAGGTTAAGAAGAAAATATATGAAAGATTCTGGTTCTTTGTTTCAGACAATTTCAGAGTTCTGAATATTTATACAAGCTTTGTTAGTCATTAATAACTGATATATGCATAAAATAATTGAACTCCTTCAGTCAACAAATAAGGATCTCATGCTGTTTAATTACAGGTATATTTTCCACCCTGTCAACTACTGGTAAATTGGCCCTGTACAAGAAAGACAGAAGAGAGAAAACTCCATCAATCCTGACAATTCTTACTTGGTGGGTAGAGTGAAAATAGAACGATAACACCACCTGCGTCTGACTTTCCAGTCATCTCCCAGATGATGTAAATGTATACTACTGAAGTGACTGACATGCAAGTATCATTAATGTCAATTATTCCCCTTCTCCTTGGGAATAAATTACTATTTGAACTTTTCTCTCCCTAAACATATTAGGAAGATGGGATCTGAAGGACTACGAAGGAAACATCACTTCGAAGGACTCCATAAAGGCTGGCACGTTCCACGGAATATCTCCCTGTTCCCATTGAAAAAAAAAGTCATCGCTACAGACACAAGTGAAAATTAATCTCTGAAGGAAGGCCTGTCATGAGACACGACAGGATACTTCACTGGTGTGTGCTACTCCACGGAGGTTCTGAGCACTCGGAGAACAACGTCACTTGGCACGTCACATGGTCACGCACTAGTGACCGTGCTCAGACCTGGATGAAGAGGGTTTGGGTTTAAGGCTGTTCAGGAGTCTCTTGGTTGCTTCGTTCTTTTCAGAATCAGTTAAGTGACTGCTGCTCATTTAAGGGCAGAAGTAAAACTGGGGAACTTGCAATTATCGATTTCTTATTTTCTTTTTATCAATCTTTTATTTCTTTCCTTATCAAGGATTAGATTGTGATGGAGTTGCCATCTGCTATTCTTGAAGAATACATGTAGAGTGACCTATTTTCTGTTTGATCTCTCTGTGCAACTGTCCTTTCTACACTGAGTTTGCAGGTACAAGGCAAAAACCACAACTACAGATATTTTGGGCCTCATGGCTGCCGAGGTAACCTTCAAAATCTGAGCCTGTGAAGTAATATCTGCCTCGATATGTATGTGAATTGATCCACCACCTCCAAAAACTAGGACTCAATCATGCAATTTGGCATTTTCACCATCAATCACTTGCAGGCGGGCACCTCCCATTTGATATCATATCCTTCACCTGCTGACTGGCTTTCTTATCAAAAAGCAGTTCATGGGATTACAGTGCAAGCTCCTTATCTGCTTCCAGGGAAAGCTGGGGATGAAAATGAGACAGCAGTCCAAAGTGCAGGTTGGCAAGATGGTTTTCCTGTGCCACGGCCCAGGAATTAAACGTTAATTAATGGCTGCCTGTGATTTCTTTTGGGTTTAGATGGCTTTTGCTGACAGAAGGTGGATCTGTGCAATCATAAAGATTTGTGCAATCTTAATAAACGTATCGGCACTTCTTGAGGCCATTTAGTTTTAACACCAGCCCTTTCCTGTGGGAGATAGTTTCTGGTACAGGATATACTTGAGTCCTACTTGGGGACTGTCCTAGATGATACCACACTCTTTTCGCTCTGTTGGAAGTAAAGTTTCCTCTCAAAATTGGGTGCTACAGCTTGAAGCCCACTTCCACATCCTGAACAAAACCAAGACAACAGCACATAGATCCAACGATTCCAAGTTCAGCTAAAAACCTCTGCAGCAAGGCAGGGAGGGAGCCCAGAATTCCTGGCACTTCCACTGCCACCATGGCACCTCTGAGTTAGAAGACGTATAGCTCTTCCCTGGTAAATGGTACATGTGCTTTATTTATTGGCGCAGTGAGAGGACACGTGCTGCATATCCAAGTTTCACGTACTGCTGTCGTTTCACAAATAAACCTAAAAATTACAGCCTGTTCATAACACCGCTGTCACGGCTACCAACAGACAGAGATGAAGCTCACCCTGGCAGCCTTCAATATTTTATTAGGACATCAGCTCTGCACAGCCAGTCCTAGAGCAACTCTAACCACTTGCATCTCGCATTTTTAAATCATTTTTAAAACTGATTCATCTAATAGCACCCAATCTATGTGGCTTTTGAGTGAATTATCAACTATATTTTCAATTATGAAGCTGTATGCTGGCTTCTCCTCCCCCACAGGCGATGCTCGAATTAAGAGCAGAACAAAACCCCACTGGAAACATCCCCAGATTCTTGGCTGTGCCTTAAAGATTAAGCAGAAACTAAAAATAGTTTGTTGGAATGACAAAAGCATGAACTCAAGCACTAGTAAATCTTGTTATGGAGTAGCTATCCGTTTATTGCCTGTCTACATTTAGGGTGGTGCCAGAGTATGTACAACAGCGTGTAGAGGAGCACGGCCCTTACATCTCAAAAGGAATTACATCTAAGGAAAGGTGACGTTCAGCTCTAGAAAAAATCATGTTATAGTAGTTTTGGGCTTTTTTATACCCAATTCCTTAAAAATAGAATATTGAAGAATTATCTTGACTTTCATGGAACAGATTCAGGCAATTTAGCAATTGTCCCCATGCTAGAAAATTGAAGTACCAATGCTTTCTGAACACCTCTTATACCATCTGCTCAGGATTTAATAACCTGATGACCACTGAGAAGAAGGAGGCAATGCTGCATCAACACTGCTTTTATAATCGGTTGGAATTACAATATAGAAATACCCAGTTGCCTGTAATTTAAAGTCTCCTCTCCCAGGTAACAAGCATTAGGACAATAGGAAATGGCCTCAAGTTGCACCAGGAGAGGTTTAGATTGGATGCCAGGAAAAATTTCTTCACCAAAAGGATTGTCAAGCCCTGGCACAGGCAGTGGTGGAGTCTCCATCCCTGGAGGTATTTAAAAGCCATGGAGATGTGGTGCTCAGGGACATGGGTTAGTGGTGGACCTGGCAGTGCTGGGTTCACGGTTGGACTCAACGACCTTAAAGGTTTTTTCCAATCTAAACGATTCTGTGATTCTATGATTTAGGAAACACAAAGCTAGAAGAGAACTTACGACAGCGCGGACGCCATACTGTTTCTCTACTTTGTCTTTGAGCTGCCTGAAGCAAGCCTCCATTCGCTCGTGGAACGGCCGCAGCGCCTCCGTCACCTTCTCCCCGTGGATCCGGATGCCCTCCGCCAGGAATGGGATCTGGAAAGCAGAGTTACACCACTTCAGCCCATCCAGTCCTTCCTCAGAGAAAGGTCAGGGCAAGACTGTCACATTGCTTGCAAGAAGAGCGGAAGATCTCATAGAATAATAATAAAGTCAATAACAATTCAATAATCATTACTATTACCATCATGATCCTAATTCACATTATAGTAAACACATAGTAAAAAAGAATGTAAAAGGCTGTTATACAGGATTTCCTCCATTAACCAAAGTCCCTCAAAATTAAAACACCCGTGCTCAGTGATCACACGTGGAGGCACAGCTGAATTTATCAGACAGCACAAATATTCCTGCGATGTTATATTCACAGGCTCCTACGCACGCTGTACTTTAAAATGGCAAACTGATGAATGACAACCCTCCCATCGGGTTATTAATATTGGTCCTTTCCCAGTTTCATGAGAATAAAACCTAAAGGAGAAAATTCTTGTGTGTTTTCTTTAATAAATGCTATTTCTAAAACTGCAAATGAGCCACATCCTTGGACATGATATATTGCAGAGTAATAGCTGTTAATAAAACATATAGTTTTATATACCATCCATTTCTCCTTAGAAAATTATTTTATCTTCTTTTGGAACAAAACAGAAGAGGAAAAAAATTAAATTACTTCTCTTTTGTAACTGAAAATAATCATTTATCTTCAAGGCTTCTGTCACAAAATATCCATGCCAACACAGGATTATATAATTAGTTCATAGTGTGGAGGTGTAGCTGACCTTTTAAAATGTTTTAAGAGAGACATTTTCATTCCTCCAGCTATCCAGACACACTGTTAGAGTTTTCTACCTCCAGCTTAGGAAAAATATTTCCTTTTCCAGGTCTGTTTCAGCCCACACAGTGCTCTGATTCTAACTTAGATATTCTCTGCAGTAATCAAGCTAAAGAGGTTTCTTCTTAATAATTCATAATTAAATCATAATACTGATTAAAACCAGATTTTTCTAATAAGACAGAGCAGCAATCAGAAGTAGCTTTATTAGTAAGGAGAATAATAAATACACAGACGAATACCAGATGAACAAACTCAAGAAATCTTATGAAGATAATTCTCTGTGATTTGGCACTTTTTAAATGGACAGAGTTTCTTCTCCTAAAAGGCTACAAAGAGAAGCCAAAATAATGACACAAATTTTTACCAAAGCCACTTCTTTTTTACAACCATTATGAATATGCACTCTACGAACACGAAACATTAAAATCAGAAGTAAATGCATTTCCACATTTTCATAATTACCAGGCCACACTGATTACCTCATATTTTGCAGGGATTTCCAGTCACTTGGCTGATTTATTTAAAAGAATCTGCTGACTTTTTAAATGGATTATTTAAAAAACCAAAAAACAAATGACTGAGATGAAGTACATGTGGGGTCTGAAGCTTCAGCTCAGAGTCATTTTTCCAAGCGGAAAATGCACTAATGCACCTGTCCGAGGGATCACACATCTCTGGTTTAAAAAAACAAGCAATATGAAGTAAATGATATTTTTTTTTTGTA